GGCGGCCGGCACGGGCGGCAACGCCAGACGCCTCCGCCGCTCGCCGGCGGCTCCATCAGCTGTGTGCTGCGGATGGTTAGCGGGATACACACCGCTACCGGCCAGGCAGGCCGTACCATAATGTCAGACGGCTGGATCGCCTTCAAAAACGGCAGATCAAACGCCACAGGTGCCAACTGGCGACGGAGACGTCAGACGGGGCGAACAGTGACGGACGGGGGGGGGGGGGGGGAGGGGGATACCGTCTACACGAAGGAACACTGCTGAAGCATGCTAGCGGAGTGGAGCCAATCTCAAATGTGTTTGTGGCGAACTGCGCTGCCCCCCGCTCCACAACGCCGGAGAAACCGACTCCAGCACACGTCGCGCTCACTGGAGCTGTTGTGAGAGCGTCAAGCTTTCATCAACGCGTCTGCTGAACTAGGTTCGTAGTGACCTGTGCCCAGTGGCGCGACCTATCATGTCAACACAGCATGAGGTATGGCCCAAAATGGCCGTTTGATACGTCGTTCGATAGCCCATTCTGTACAGCGGAGCGCAGTCCGCCTGGATGATAGCCTGGGGCTATACACCGCCGAGCTTCGACATGATCGGGGACGCGATCAAACCCCCACCCAAGACGGTGGGACCACTGATCGTCTTGTCCACCGCCTGGCTCCAGAGCTGCCCCGGGGACCTCAACTGACCAGCGTTCAGCTGTGTGTGGAGAGAATCCGCCATAAAGAGGGCGAGGAGGTAAGCGTGAAGCAGCGAGCTTCGCGTCATCATACATACACCCCACAAGTTGAAGAATTCAGTCTAATGCATAGGGGCGCAATGTTCGGCTGGAGCGGCGCATTATCGAATGTTCGGACAGGGATGAGTCCGGCAACAGTCATGTGCGGACTCAGTGTCCGCCCGTGGTCAGACCGCTGGCAGGTACAACATGGAGAACGTTTCGCGGACCCGCAGTGAGAAACAGCACCGAAGATAATGCTGCAGTTCGCGGATGGTACATTGTCGGTTTCGGCTTCATCTACTCGTCTTTTCACTTATAATCGCTTCGTTTATTTGCCGGCATCGTGCTTTCAACTACCGTTTAGCTACCGTTTAACTACTAGATTCACTGAAGCTCCATGACGCCCTTCGCTACTAGCCCTACTAGCGCTATTAAAAGTGACACCAGCCCCACTGAGTCGCACTAGACTCCCTGACGCTTCGCAAAGAGCACCAGCTTCCCTGGCGCTTTGCGCAATGACACCAATCTTCCTGACGCTTTGCAAAGTGCACAAGCCTCCCTGGCGTTTTAAGCAGGAAGGACTGACTGGACCTGACATTAGCTCTCTGGTGCTTTGCACAGTGACGTCAGCTTCCCTGGCGCTTTGCACAGAGACATCAGTTTCCCTGACGCTTTGAAAAGCGCCACCAACCTCACTGATGGTTTTAAGAGTAACACCAGCCCCTCTGATGCTTTAAATAGCGACACCGGCTCCCGAATTTCCTTCCGAGTGCCTTCAGCTCTCCCACGTGTTCCGGAGTGACCTGAGGTTCCCTCACGTCCTGTGCGGCTGGCTGCAGCCGCCAGTCGCGATGGATGATGCCCGGAGCCGCGCCGCCGCCGACCATTTCGTCGGGCACGACCCGGGGAGCGGCGTGCCCTTTAGCGGCCGGAAATGGCCTCGTCCGACCGACAGGCTACCTCTGAATTTCCGCGCTGAACTTTACCGGCGCCGGGCTGACTGCTAGCAATATGCCGACCGACTGGCCGGCATCCCCGCCGGCTTCACTGTCAGCGGCTGTCCTAGCGAGCGTCGGCGGTGCGACTATGGACTTCTCACTCTCTGGGGAGCTCCGCCCGGGTCTGTTTGGTTGTATTCTTCTTTTTGTAAAAATAAAACGTGACGAACGACGTCACGCCTGTTTTATGGCACACCAGCTTTAGTGCCGCCAGCTTCACCACCATACGCAGACGCAGGCGAAGGCGTGGTCAGTGTAAGCGCGCCCGGGCTGACCAGACCGGACCACCAGCCCCGGTCCAGAGCCGCCTCCGCTCGGGTCGGCAGCCCGTGGGGCCCCGGTCACAGACCGCCGCCCCCGTTCGCCGCACTCGCCATCCCGCGCGTGACCAGGGCGACGCGTGACGACGGCCCGGTGGCGGCACACTTTGTAACGCAGACAGGCGGCCGTGCTGCGGACACGAAATCGACTATGACGTCACGCGGCCGATGTTTTCCGCGCCGCGCGCCGCGGCGGCGGCAGACGGCCGCGGTCCGTCTCCGGTGACCCCGGAGCGGCCGGCACGTTAATGGGACGCCCAGCGGGGGCCGCTGCCGACCAGGCGGCGGGACGCCGGCCCGCGCGCGGCCGCTCACGCCCGGCGACGAGAGCGGCGGCGTGCGGCGCCTCCCAGCCACCCATGCGCCGCTGTTGGGATGACGCCCAGGACGCAGCCTGCTGCGGCGTGTCCGTGCGCGCCCCGCGGGCACGTGGGCAGCGCCCTGAGCCGGCGTGCCGGAGGCAGTCGCAGCAGCACCCTGAGCCGGCGTGCCGGAGGCAGTCGCAGCCGGCGGATCTATCCTCGGAACGGGCGGGAGCGGGCTCCGCCGGAGGCAGTCGCAGCCGGCGGATCTATCCTCGGAACGGGCGGGAGCGGGCTCCGCCGGAGGCAGTCGCAGCCGGCGGATCTATCCTCGGAACGGGCGGGAGCGGGCTCCGCCGGAGGCAGAGCAGCCGGCGGATCTATCCTCGGAACGGGCGGGAGCGGGCTCCGCCGCGGCCGGCGGCGACGCCAGCGGCGTCCTCCAGCCGCGCCGCGCCGGCCGGCCCCTATCGCGCGGGCCGGCCGCTATCGTGCGGGCCGGATGCGCCACTCTGCAGTCCGGAAGAGGAATCAGAGCTGGCGCCGCTTCCTGCGGCCGGGCGCTGCGGCGCGCGCGACGGGAAGCTGCTGCCGCCGGCCATGGAGTGGCACGCGCCGCGCCGGGCCTCGACTGCCGGTCACGGCGTCGACCGCTGCTACAGCGGTACATGCCAGGCATCTGAGCGCGGTACGTAGGCGGCGCGGGGTACTGCAAGGGCGGTTCGGGACGGTACGAGGCGTACGAAGGCGATACCGGGCGGTACGAGGCGGTGTGGGGCGGTACGATGGCGTGTGGGACAGTACGAGGACGGTGTGGGACGGTA